ATCACTGCTCTAAAATATATATTTTTTAAATGTCTGTGTAACAAACAACAACCTTTTTCCCCTTTGAAAAGCAATCTATATCATATTTTAAGAAACATTTAAAATATTTTGGAGCAGTTAAAAATCGTACTAGTACCTTAGGACCGGTATAGCAGAAAATTTTGGCGGTTTTAAAACCTTGACTTTTTCAAACCACCATATACTTTGAAAATGGTTATTGGCCCATGTCTAGACCAGATCCAATGCTTTTAATTCTGGGATTTTCTGAACAAACACAATTGTTGTCAAATACACAACATAAATTGCACTCATACTGTCAACTACTGCCAAGAGGTTACTGCTACTGTTATGGGAAAATAATTAATCCCCTACATATTAACTGTGGCTTGGGGAAATTACCTCTATGTTACATTTGAAGCAAATTGGGTACTATTTGAAAAGAAAACTTGAACAATTTGACAAAATTTTGCATCCTTTTATCTGTTACCTTGAAAAAAACTTTTGGACTAATGCATCATTTCTGTAATGTTTTAATATGCTTTGTCATCATCCTCTGGTGTTAAAACAGGTCTTTGTAAACAACTTTGCTTTTTTGAAAATGGCTAATGTGGCTGGTTTTTTTGTTTTGTTTTGTTTTTTTTATTATTTTTTTTGCTTTTGCCTACTATATGTGGACAAAATATGTAAAATGGGGAATGCTTTTGTTTCTGAATCTGTGTTTCAATAAAACTTATTTGACAGAAAAAACACAATCCCTGCAAATAAAGCTACTGCATGCATGTCTAGGGTATCCTCGTAGAATAAGCAGAAAAATAGGTTGCTTAGTCATACATTGGCCAGGTATTAATAAGAAGAATATTAATACATAAATGAATAAAAGCAAACTCGTGTCGAGATCACAAGAAAATTAAGTCATGATGACAAGAAAACAAGAGAGAAACTTTAATACTAGAATACTTTAATGCATGGCTTCTTAGGACTTCCGTATTTACCTGTTATTTATCAATATTTATATGTTTACACTATTTATATGTTTGCTTTGCATAATTTATCTTTTTACTGCAACTAACCACAAAACTAAGGTCTCAAAAGTTTTTGTTGTTGTTTTGTGGTAAAATTCAGGATCACAAAACGAAGTCTATAGTACTAGTGGTGTCAAACATCTTACATCGTTTGAGTCTGTATCTTTTTGTATTAATTTTCGCATTTGTCTTTCTAAAATGAATTAGTGCTATGCAGTTTGTTGTTTTTTTGCTAGTTAAAAAGTTTAATTCCAAAATTAACAAGGGTTATGCAGTTGTTTTTATCTGCAAATTTCTTGGAAGATGTGAAGATATGACTTTATTTTGAACTTTTAGTCATTTTAATTCAGGGCAGCATTTCAGTTTTTTTATCACTTATATGTCAGTTTTTATAACTTTATTTGCCACCATTACATCACCCGACAAAAGTCTTGTTGTTGATTCCAGTTGTAAAAGCAACAAATAATAACTTGCTTTCTAGTTGATCATTTGGGAAAGTGGTAGAAGGTAGATTTTTCTGTTGAGCCTATGGAACATGCATGGAACCAAGATTCTCATAGAATTCAGTAAAGTTTGATAAAAGAAAAGTCATGGTTTGGGGTTACGTTCAGTATGGGGGTGTGCGAGAGATCTGTAGCATGAATGGCAACATCAACAGGTATTTAGACATTTGTGCTGTCCATTAAATTACAAACCACAGGAGAGGGCAAATTCTTCAGCTGGATAGCACTCCTTCTCATACTTCAGCCTCCACATCAAAGTTACTGAAAGCAAAGAAGGTCAAGGTGCTCCAGTATTGGCAAGCCCAATCACTAGACATGAACGATATTGAGCATGTCTGGGGTAAGATGAAGGAGGAGGCATTGAAAATGAATCCAAAGAATCTCTATGAACTCTGGGAGTAATCTAGAGGCCTTTGTCTTTCAAATAAGCCAATTCTGATAGCAAATGATCAAATAAAAGTGAAGTTTTTATTTGTTTTTCCTAAAACTTGTATAGGCGACAAGACTTTTGTCAAGTAGTGTACGAGATAAAATGTAAAAATATGGGTTTGATCTCAATGGTTAACTTTATTGGTGCTCTAAATACCAGTTTGGGTCAGAAACATAATAAAATACACACTAAAATACTCAATGGAATACACAAAATGCTATTCCTGGCTGTTTAGAACAATCTACACAAAAGCCTAATGCAGCCCAAATTCTTGTAAACACAGTCAGCTTATTGCTCTGATGGCCTTTTGTGTATCTTTTCTTTTATGGTGTAGATGGTGTATCCGTGTTGATAATATTCAGTATGTGTATACAGCATTCGCATAGTAAATTGAGTGTGTCCATGTGCAAACAAGCATTTGTAAGTGGGCATTCGAGTTGCTGTCTATAGCAGTGTGCATCTCATTGACCGTGCCTGTCATGTGCCGGGCGTGTGGTGGTGCTTTCTATAATCCCTGTTGGAAAAAAGTCACCCTTGAAGGAATGCGAATGTGAGAGAGGAGAAGGAGAGGTCAGTCCCAGACACAGCACAGCTCTCATTCATTCTCCACCATATGACAGACTCATTCCCACTATAGCAACACAACACTGACCTCTACTGCAGTATGTGCTCCTGCCACTGTACAAAATGGCATGGAGAATGACATTACTGAACAATGCTGTTTATTGAGGATGATGCCAACTAAGTTTGTTAGTAGCTTAAATTAATTATTTCTAAATTATTTGCAGATTGTTGCTGTTATTAAAGAAAAGGGGAAAAAAGTATAAAAATGTAAACTTTATTTGTCTTTTGTAATAATTGTGTAGTTTCATACAGTCTGCCTAATATTTTTCATTGAGGTTTAATTAAACGATTGTTTTTTGTTTGTTTTTTTTATTGCTGTGATGCCATGTGAGTGACAATTGTGGCGACTTGAAGTAATCAGATGATTTTCTCTTAGAATTTGAGTGGAAATTGTTGACAGTTTATTTCTCTACAAATGTGACAGCTGCAGTAAATCTGGTGCATGCTGTCTAAGTGTTGCCCTAACATTTCAAAATGTGCCGCTGTCACTTACAGACTGGTCAGGTCACAGGGCAGGTCTTTTGTTTCAGAATAAAAGAGGAGACGATGACATACAGCATGCCAAACATATGTCCAGAATCTTTTCAGAAGCTTAAAGGTTCAAGAAAGCCTTGAGTACTTTTTGAGATTTTAACAGGAGTGTGTGTTGAGCATCAATAAAGACAACGTTGACACCTGTTGACTTTAATTGTGAAAAAAAAATTGATAATTTAAAGCTTTTGTCAGCTAAATTCCAGGTTTTAAATCATGATTGGGGCGGAATCAAAATCAGTGTCTTATTGCTCATCTGCTAGTCGAGTTATGACGAATCGGTTTCTCATTATTATTCATAGACTGAGTGTTCTTGTCCTATGAGAAGACCCTGCTTCTTAATTATTCATGACAGCACGTGCTTTATTGTATGGTTTTCCCCGCAATGCTGTCAGGGCCAATGATACAGCAAAGCTGTTTGTGTGCAGCAAGCATTTTTGTCGGGAGAGCCGTTCGAGAATTGGAGAATGGCAGACATTAGCCACTTTCACACAGTGATAACGGTAAATATCCGGAAAATTTCCAGAACAATTTTACCGGTAAACTCAAAAAAAGCACGGTTTACACAGACGAGGACGTTACGTAATTTTTCCGGAAAAGACCATTCACACATCCATTCCAAAATACCGGTAAATTCTGACATCATAACCAGAAACGATCTCTAAATGGCTGCGCTTGTATTTAAATTCGTAAATTCCTGAATATGTCTAAATGTGTGAAAGGGGCTTTTGTGTTTTATCAGTTGAGTTTGTTAACATTCAGACACATCACAGATCCGTGCTGCTGTGTTTGTCTATAATTAATATTTTAAGATCACCGGCAAGTCTAATGGTTGAACTATATAGGGCAAGAGACCTGCTGCACTGCGATCCACAGTGTTTATATAAACATTATTATCTTTATAATGATATAAAAGTTGTTGTTATGTGTATATATTATATGAAATGACAAATAGCTTATCAGATATGTAGCAAGGCATTAAATTACTGCTTAATTCTTTTCATTTTATCTTTGTAAACTATAAAATCATAGCTTTCCTAATTTGTTTTTTGTTTGATTTTTTTTGGTATGATTTTGTGAGCCAACTTACAGTTGTTCAATCCCCTATTTTTCCTCTGCCAGCCACGCCCACTCCTCCCTCTGCTCACAGTGCTTCACTCCCATCATATAGCATTTTTTATTTTTTTTTAATTCTGAGGTAGTCTTGAACTGAAAGAGGGGAGTTTCATGACCGTTTAAGGACAAGCCGATTGCGTTGTGCTTTGCTAACAGGATGTGCATGAAAATTGCAGCTTTTGCTAAATTAAGATTTAAATTTCATTCAGATTTAATGTAAAGCCAATTTTATATTTATATATATATATATATATATATATATATATATATATATATATATATATATATATATATATATATATAATAGTAATTCTCAAATTATTTGCATCATTATTCCACTAAGAGCAATGGACCCTTTTCACAACAAATTTTTTACAATCCCATTTCCTGAAATAATAAAAGAAAACTTACACTATGGTGTTATCAAGACTATCAGAAAAAGGGAAGAAAGTGATAGACTGATAACGGCAGCCAGAAGAGAGAACAACATCAAATTTACTGACCTGCCCTATAGACGCTGCATCACAACCGTTACTTTATAATTTGATGCAAAGTTGATATAATTCACACGTACATACATATAAATGTACATAGAGGTTTTTACAAATCAAAATATTAAAAACTTTCAAGAATTTACTGTTATGGTGACCGTTAAACGCATCATGTCTTGTGAAAAGGGTCCATTGGACTTGAAATGAATGCAGTATGCTTTGCTTATACTCTTTATGAAGGGTTCAAATGTGCTGTGTGTGTCTGTTTTTTTTTTTTTTTCAGCCATAACGAGAGCACTGTGAAGTTGCAGAGGTTTTCAAACAGTGACAACTATTGTCTGATTCTGCCTCCCAATCTCAAATCTGCCATCGCTGCCATCACATACATGTCTGAACAATTGAAGAAGCAGGATGTGGATGATACTGTAAGTTTATGAACACAAACCATACACATCCCCATTCAACTCAATCTCCGCTTCTCCACACATAGAATAAAACACAAAGAAGCGTTTATCTAGAGGCTCTTCCTCTCACTCTGCTCCTGATCCTCATGATTATTCATATATTGACAATACACATCCTGCTGTGCCAGTGAGATAAACATATCCCATTGTTTCTCCATGTAATGTGTGTGAGTAGATGACAGATGACTGGCAGTACATTGCTGTGGTTTTGGACCGTCTGTTTCTTTGGCTCTTCGTCGTCATTACTACTCTGGGCACACTGACCATGTTTCTGGATGCCAGTTTCAACTATACTCCTGACCAACCTTTTCCATGAGCACATCCCAGCACACAGACACGACACACAGTAAGACTGTACTCTCTGTGGACGGACGCTAGAGGGCATCATAGAATTACCAGAGAACACTCATTTTGAGTTCTTTCTTTTCTTTTCTTTTCCTTCTTCCTTTCTTCTATTCTTTTCTTTCTTTTTCATTTTCTTTTCATTTCTTTCTTTTTTTCCTATTTCTTTTCTTTCTTTTGCCCATAACTTTTTTCTTTTTCCTTTTCTTTCTTTTTCCATTGCCTTTCTTGCCTTTTCTATTTATTTCCTTTCTTTTTTCCATTTATTTTCTTTCTTAATGTATTTCCTTCCCTTCTATATTTCTTTTCATCCTTTTTCCATTTCTTTTTTTTCCTTTTCCATTTCTTTTCTTTCCTTTTCCATTTCTTGACTTTTTTCCATTTCTTTTCTTCCCTTTTCTATTTTTTTTCTTTCCTTTTCCATTTCTTTTCTTTTTCCATTTCTTTTCTTTCCTTTTCCATTTCTTGACTTTTTTCCATTTCTTTTCTTTTCTTTTCTATTTCTTGACTTTCTTTTTTAATAATTTTTTCCCTTTTCCATTTCTTCTTTCTTTTTCCATTTCTTTTCTTCCCTTTTCTATTTTTTTTTTCTTTCTTTTTCAATTTCTTTTCTTTTTCCATTTCTTTTCTTTCCTTTTCCATTTCTTGACTTTTTTCCATTTCTTTTCTTCCCTTTTCTATTTCTTGACTTTCTTTTTTAATTATTTTTCCCTTTTCTATTTCTTCTTTCTTTTTCCATTTCTTTTCTTCCCTTTTCTATTTCTTTTTTCATTTCTTTTCTTCCCTTTTCTATTTTTTTTTCTTTCTTTTTCAATTTCTTTTTCCATTTCTTTTCTTTCCTTTTCCATTTCTTGACTTTTTTCCATTTCTTTTCTTCCCTTTTCTATTTCTTGACTTTCTTTTTTAATTATTTTTTTCCCTTTTCTATTTCTTCTTTCTTTTTCCATTTCTTTTCTTCCCTTTTCTATTTCTTTTTTCTTTTTTTAATTTCTTTTCTTCCCTTTTCTATTTTTTTTTCTTTTTCCATTTCTTTTCTTTTTCCATTTCTTTTCTTCCCTTTTCTATTTCTTCTTTCTTTTTCCATTTCTTTTCTTCCCTTTTCTATTTCTTTTTTCTTTTTTTCATTTCTTTTCTTCCCTTTTCTATTTCTTTTCTTTCCTTTCCTATTATTTTTGTTACTTTTAAGTTTTCTTAATTATGATTAAGGAATTATTTGATTATCATGTTTCCATGACAGTGTTTTTGTAATTGTCAAGCTCTTTTAACTCCAACATTTTCTGCTCTTATATTTTGTTGCATCATGTATTAGGACACTAGATTTAACATTTTTAATCTCAAAGCTAAGATTTTTTTTAAATGGTCAAATTGTTATATTTTATTCTAATAAATAAAGTTGTTGTTACTCCATAAATTGTAGGCAGTGAGGTAAATTTCACAATACTATATTTAATAACTTTACATTGTAAGCAATAGCTTAAGTGCATAAATAAAGAAAACATTCAAATTAAAATAAAATATTGCTTTGTTTTTTCAGATTGTAGGTGTCCAGGTTCAAAAAAGAAATGAGTAATGAGAACTAAAATAACACTGTTTAGTCCGAGAGATTTAATTTAAATATACACTGTAAAAATATCTGTTAATTAACCATTTCTGCATTGTGTGATTTTTATAAGTTTTTCAGTTTATTTACGGTTGTGAAATGTCGACTTTTAATGCTGAAAATTCAACTTTACAGTTTAATAAAGTTATCTTATTGACATTTTAGTAGTTTGAAGTAATATAGGTCTAATAAATAATATAAAATAAACAGAAGATGTACTGGCAGTTTTATCATACTATGCAACAACAACCTGGACAACATATCACTTTAAAATATTAAAAATGTCAACAAAAGTCACATTTGTTGAACTTTTAAAGTTTAAAAGTTGGAAGTAAGTTCAAGGTCCAATAACGCAATACAAAAGCATAAATAAATGGGGTAAATAAAAAGAATAAAAACATGAATCACAAAATACAGAAAACCACCAATTTATAGATTTTTTAGAGTGTTGTTTAAATTTAGGGTCATCCGAGATGTATGTGACTTTTTTTTCTTCATTAGAACCACTTTTTTTTTTTTAGCTGAAAGTCATTGGTGATCGATTGCATTAGGTTTATTAGGATCACTGCTAATAATTGTTACTTCTGGCTCTAAATAGATTGCATGAATCACCAAAGAACCACAATTTCATTAAAAAAAATCTTTAGTGTTCTGATGAAGTAAAAGGCTTCTGTGATAATTCAGCCATGACCAACTGACAAAACTGTCAACTATGCTGAGTGTCTTTCAAGCTGACCCCAGGCCATTCCTTATTATCAAGCCCTGATCTACACCTACAATAGTGGCTACAAGTAATGTCCAAGAAAATCTTCACCCCTTTATTTACGCGTGATGTTAGATACATTTATTAAAGCAGATTGTGCAGTTGTTGATCAATTCGCTTGAGTTCATTTGTGATAAGGCATGGAAACATGCTTGCTGAGCCTTTTGCCAGAGAATGGCTGCTAATCATATGAACTCATGAAATATTATTAACTGATTATATTGTGGTCATAACATGCTTCATTTTCTTTGTGTTTTGTTTTTTTACTGTTTATTTTTTAAAATTGTAAAATTAAAGTTTTATTCCTTGATAAAGTTTAGTTTGCCTTTTTTGCCAAATAATGATGTCAGTTTGGTTCACCCAAAATTCTAAATTCTTTTTTTAATTACTCACCCTCATGAGACCTTTGTTTATCTTTGGGATACAAATTAAGCTCCCTCATCCTCTGTTGACAGCAACAGTCCTGCGATTTCAAAGTCCAGAAAAGGAATTAATAAAACCCATTGTCAAAACATTCCATTTGACTTCAGGTATAATCTGTAATTATATGCAGCTCCAAGAGAACTTTTGTGCACCAAAAAAACCTGTAAAAATGACTGTTTGCTAATGTGTTCTGCATGAGTTCAGGGTGTGTGTTAGGTCTTTTAAGTTTTTTTTAATGCTTTTGTGTTGCACTGATGACTCTGGTGGCAACATGTCATATTACCCATATTAGCACAGACCCTGACCTGGGGTCTGTTATTCGTTCGTGGATTACTCAATTAGCTGGATTTTGTTATTGACAGTTTGACACTCCGAAATAAAAGTACAAAGACCTGGTGGTTCAAAGAGAAAATGTTATGATATAAACCTTTTAGATACAAACCCCTTTTTTTAAAGGAATAATAATGAATGCAGTCATGCACATGTTTTGACAGCTAATATGATGTATGACATGCTTATGTTATGCAAACATTTTTAAAAGCCAGTTATTTTTTATACTGATAAAGAAACCGGCTACTATAATACTACTATGGCTATTACAATAAAGAATATTCACTCTAACTGTAAAGCTAAATAAACTGTTAAATAGTCTTGACACATGAAAGTATAACACCTGCAGCCCACACCAAAGTTGAAAAGGTATTGCGTATCATATTTAACAAACCGTTTCTTATAAATTTTTTTGTAATTTTGCACACATGGATAATTGAATATTAATCAGATGATGTCATTACGCTGCTGTGCCGTCAACCAATCGTTGCATTGCTGATCATGATGAAACAACGCATGCAGGTTGAACTAACCCTTTAAATAACTTTTCCCAAGGGGTTTTCTCTTTCGATATTACTTGTTTCTTACATTTTATGGACATAAATGAACTTTTAGGGGCAGTTAAAAGTGGTTATTGTGTAACTGTCCTCTTCGAACATCAACTTTGGCCACATCTATATACAGTCAAACCCAAAGTGATTCATACCCCTGGCAAGTTCAGAGTTTTTGTTCAAATGTAAATAAAAGCTGAGAATTTTTTTCTATAATGATGCCTCTTTGTTCTACAATGATGCCTCTTTTTTTTCACATTGTTGTCTAATCTTTTGGAAGAAGCCTGTGTCATTGCCAGTAAAAAAAAAAGTTTGTGTAGGTTTAAGGAATTTGCCATGGGGTATGAATAATTTTGTGTTTGACTCTATATGTAATGTATAATTATCTTTTGTTTTAAGGGGAAATATTAAGAAAACATTCTACACTACCTGTTTTGTCAAATTCTTGTTTCGCTGTTCATAAAACAGAGAGAGGTTGTACATTCTTGCTTTTTTAATGTAATTGATGTTTGTTCATTTTGCAGTTATTCTCTTTGTGAAGCGTGGCATCTCTCATGTTCAAGAGAATTATATTGTGAAAACTATACCGGTGTTTGTTTTTTTTCCCTCTCCTTGTGTGCAACTCTTGTCTGTCTGCCAGCAGTGGTTTGTTAAATCCTTCCTGTATCTGACTCGTCATTGAGCCATTAGGATATGAAATCTGACAAGCATGCTGCAACTATGCTTAGCCAGACTTGCTACGGTACAGTTAATGAAATGATGCCCAGTCACGTCTAAACAGCATTACCTGATGGCTGCTTCATTGCCTTTTTCTTTTTTCAGAACACAAAAAATAATCAAATTTTTGATCAATTAAGTTATTGATCATTGTTTTCTAATTCTCGTCATGGCAATAATCCACTTATTTTTGGCTAAGAGCCACCCATGGGGCATCATGTTTAGCCCAAATTTAAAATACAAACTTGCTTAACGTACAATAGCATTCTTTAGGTAAAGGTAGCTAATGTAGTTCATTTTTAGTCCAAATGATGTTCTGGATTTTTTACAATGGCATGAAATTTTACATTGTTTAATTTCTTTTCAACATAGACTCATTCTGTAAATGTAGCCATATACACATTTCTGGAGATCGCAGATTATGTAGCCAGAGGTACAGCATTTTGTGTTTAAAATGAATGATATGGGGCGGTATGATGCTGTTCCTTTTCTTGCTTACCAGCTGATCGCTTACCTCCATGTGGAAGACTTTTCCGCTGTAGCCAATTTTTCCAATAGCTTGCCATGTACATCGACAGACTTGAGACACA